TGTGGTTTATTGTAGTGTTTGAATTGAAGAATAACATAGGTTCACTCATTTTGGGATGTGAAGAATTCATATTATTATATTCGATGTCGATAAATCGCTATTTTATCTTCTCAAATCAGATTTCGGCAAGTTGAATGATGTTTCGATTTCACGCATATTAACGACATGCTCTTGATGAATATAATATGCACATTATCGGTGTAATATCTCCTAAAGCCACTCGAGTTTTTCCAATTAATTTTAATTTAAGCCAGTGGCCAAGTAACTCCAACGATAGCAGTCAACAACTTGAAAATTTTAATTTTTTTCAGTGAAGGATCTTACTTTAAAGAAAGGACTAGAAAATTCTGAATTGTTTTAAGAATTATGGGAACTGTATAATTAATGATTGCAAATGGGCACAGAAATGGTATTCTGATAATAAGAAGGAGAAGCTTGGAACTCTTGAAAGGACTCAGTCTGGGACGAGATGACTCGGTAAACATTTCTCCTCTCAAACAGGTACATCTATTATTTTCTTGATTCGTACCTCCCCGTGACACGAGTGTTTGTTCTAGGTAAACCTTGATCAATTTGAAATGGTTTTTGCAGGAAGTGTTGGTTGTATGGGGAGAACAAGACGAGATATTTCTATTAGAAAAAGCTCATGAACTCAAGGAGTAAATATTTCATTTCATACATAATTAATACACGAACATAGCGATGTCAAAAAAACTCGACGACTCGGATTCGGTCCGAAAAAAGTCCTAACCGGGCGGCTCGTGGCTCGGTGGCATCGAGCCAAGCCCGAGCTAGCCAGGGCTTGTTACCGGCCCGTGTCACAGGCCAAGCAGAACTTTCTAATTTTTATTTTTTTAGTTTAGATGTATTTTTTTTATATATTAATATTTACTTATTATTTATAATACGTATAAATTACACAAATTTTAAATACAATACAAAAAATTATAGATTTATAACAATTAAAAAAAAAAAAGGGAGCCGGCTTTGCTCGGGCCCGACTCAGCCTACTAAGGCTCGAGTCGAGCCTCTTTTTTTGCTGAGCTTTTGCTCTGTTCGGCTTGGTTCGGGCCCAAAAAAGTTAGGACCTATTTTGCTCGGGCTCTTTGAATTTCGGCTCGACTCGTTAACATGACTTCACAATCTTGTATATAAAATAAGTGAATATTATTGGCATGTTTTTGTTTATTATTGCAGATTACAAGGGGAAAAGGCCAGATTAGAAGTCATAAAGAACACCTCACATCTCCCGCAACTTGAATATTCTGCGAAGTTCAACAACGTTGTAAAGAATTTCTTGTGTGAATTGTCATGATTCTTATCTTTTACTTTGAAATTTGTAATAAAGGGTTTTGATTTTCTCGGATGACGCTTCTGAAAACGGTGTCCAGTGCCATTGTATTCAAGCTTTCAATAGGAATGCTAGGAAGATTTCTGGATTTGGAGGCGAAATCAATATGAGTTTTTTTAGTAGGTTAAATATATTGATATCATATTTTTTTATAATACGCCAAATTATAATTGTATTAAATAGTTTATAGACTTTATTAATTGTTATACGTTTGTTCCTAATTTTTTTTTTTTTCATCGTTAATTAGTACATCTTGTCGCTAACGACGATTTTCATCAAAATTTCCATTAAAAGAGTAAAAAGATTTATTTATTCTTCATATTTTAAATAAGAAAAAAATAAAAGTAAAATTGTGGCTAAATATTTTTCATTTCATAAAATATTATTTTTAATATTGTTTATTTTTAATTATCGAGAAGAAATATAAAAAGAATAATAATATTTATTATTATAATGATAGATAAATCACGGTGTCGGTAGAATAAAGAGATTGAACAGTTCAATTATTACAAGAGATGAGGAGACGAGAAAAAAAGAAATATAAGGGATAATGAGTCGCATTTTAAATTCTAATGATAAATAGCATTGAAAAATGATAAAAGAAATTATAAATCCACTGACTTCTTGGCGCCACTCGTGGACGGCTTGGAATGTGAGTCAAAAATGTCGTCAGTCGGACCCCCCAGTTTTTGGTGCCCATTTTCCTCTTCGGCTTTCTCTCCAAGAAACTCAGATCCACACTGCATTCTCTCCATCACCGTTTCCATCTCTGGTTAGTATATTTTACACTTTGTAGATTTCTATACACACATGTTCGTATGTACTATGCTTACATATATAATTCATCTGTTTATACACATGCAGTGTGGATATGAAGAGTGAAAGTTTCTTGAAAAAATTAATCTTGCAAGTGGGATAGATTAATGTTCTATAGGACTCAACTTAGGGATTCGAAATTGGTAGATAAGAATATGTATTAATTGGCTCGTAATTTAATTACTCGATTTCTTTTTTGGCAAGTAAAATTGAGACTTGAAAGCGTCGGCCAATTTTTTCTCTTTTTACACTCTTTAATGTGCCCAGCAGCCCACTATTCGACAAATAACCTTGAGGGTGCTCAAGTTTCTAGCATTTGCAGGTTTTCAATAATTGTGAAAATTTAACATTCTTATCTAAAATGAGTTTTTAAAAAAACTACTGGTATTTTAGTTTGCCTTTGATATGGTGGTGTATATTTGGAAGTGATTAGGAAATTGGATGTAGACTCTAAATGCCATTTGAAGGAATATGTAAGGGCTAAAACTGTTAAGACATCAAGTATAGGTCTTCCCCTCTATATATTAACTAGATTGATTGAATATTTAGATTATTGCAGTTCGAATGCTTTTGAAACTTGGTCATCGAGTTTTACAATATGTTCTTCATGGGATTTGTTGAATATGGGGATTGTAACAATTATACTGCATCTCATCACTCATTATTTCCTTGGTAATAAAATTTTAGACCATATATATTGTGTAGCAAGGTTGGCAAGCACGATTACTTAAATCAAGAAAACAAGATTTTGATTGAACTTGTAAATTGTGACTTGGTCAAGCCCTATCTTGGAGGATTGTAGCTTAATTATATAGGCTTTTAAAGAATTATGGTTTTGCAAATTAGGATTGGGTATAATATTTGGAGATTGGCAGAACGAAGTTGATATTTAACGCTGAAAATATGGGATCACTCTGCAGTAGAGAGCGACGTAACCATCAATCTGATGTTGAAGAGAAGTCACGGGTATATCTTTCTTGATACATTCATAATTTCTTTTCACCTAATGATTTTATAATATCACACAAGTTTCCTCTTTTCTATGAATCATATCATTATGGCAATTAGTTTTTGACATGAATGTCAGACTGCAAAAATAGAAAGGCGAATTGAGCAAGAAACAAAGGCAGAGAAGCATATTCAGAAACTTGTACTGCTTGGTATATTGATTTCCAACTTTGTGTTTGGTTCTTCTAAGGGTTCCATTTAGTCAATTTCGATTTGATGATCAAATATAATTCACAAGCTCCATTGCACAATTTGAGATTCTCTGAATGTTCTCTTCTCTACAGTTGGGAGAGAGATGTGATAAGTATATGCCCCCGTTTGACACCCATTTTTTATCTCATACTCATTTTTCTACCGTACTCATTTCTAACCACACATTCTCCAAATAAAATAATGTTTCACATAAACCCAAAAATTCTTTTTACTTTTTAACCACACATTCTTTACATCAATCACTATTCAAAAACTCATTCTTCAAAAGAATGGGTGCCAAACACCCACAAATAGGTGAAAATTATAGTATAATTTTACTTTTACATAGTTGTTTACATATACAGTCAGAACTTCTTGAGATTTCGTAAAGGTCCATTCGAAAATTAATTATACCCATGAAGTCCAAAAGTAGCTATACAATCTTATAATATGAAAGTAGACTTCTTTCTATAAGTTATTATGATAATATAATCTGGCAATTGACAATGTTTAGTATGCCATGAATTTTTCAGAGGCTGACCAAACATGTTTCCATCTATATATATATATATATATTTTTTTTTTTTTAACTTGCACACATATGTATAGATTCATATGTAGATATATTAGTGTGTGGGCATGTCCGTATTTTGATTTTGTGCAATCATGATTCTATCTTGAGATAATTAATGGATGTTTCACATAATAATTTTTTTTTTCTTTCTCATGGCTAAGGTGCTGGAGATTCAGGGAAGTCAACCATTTTCAAGCAGGCAAGATGTCCCTTTTCTTCAATGAGATCATGAATTATATCATGTGGTTTCTGAACTTATCTTCAAATGAATAATATTTATATGTGTGCTTATTGCCTTGCAGATAAAACTTTTGTTTCAGAGTGGTTTTGACGAGGAAGAGCTAAAGGGATACATACCGATCATCCATGCCAATGTTTTTCAAACAATAAAAGTATGCTATATCTCAGATGGTCTGTCAGTTATTTCTCTTTAATAATATGCAAAATATTTAAATGGTATCTAGTGATAGAGATGTGTGTGCTGGATTTCAAATGAATAATATGTAGATATTTGAGATTAGAACTTAGAAGGGAGGATTTTAATTTAGTTTTGAATTGTTGCCTACAGATATTACATGATGGATCAAAGGACTTGTCTCAAACTGAAGCAGATTCCTTGAAGTATGTTATGTCTGATCAAAATAAGGTTTGAACCAATTTCTTAACGGCATAATTTTCTTGGTCCTTGCTTGTCTTTGTTTTAGTACTCGGAGCATCACATAAATGAAAAATCATTTTAGATTCTACAACTTATGCAATAGTTCTCGATTAGAGGCCTTTCTGGTACAAAAGTGAATTCTGCACTTTCACATTCTGTTGTTGGGAATGAAGTTCTATCTATTTCAATGCATCAGGAGATTGGGGAGAAACTTTCAGAGATATGTGATAGGTTGGAATATCCGCATCTCACTAAAGAGTTAGCACAAGAGATTGAAGCTTTTTGGAGAGACGATTCAATTCAGGTTGATTTTGATCAGAATGGCTAATAACTTCAGTTCTTTAATGTTATGTCTATTTCAATAATATCACTGATTTGAATACTTGATCAAATAATTAGAATATGTTCATAGATTCGGTGCATCAAATGTTTGATGGTGGCCTCTTTTGATTTTACAGGAAACATATTCACGTGGAAATGAGCTTCAAATACCTGATTGTGCCCATTATTTTATGGAAAATTTGCAAAGATTGTCTGATAGAAATTATATTCCTACAAAGGTAGGAAAAACACGAATTCTCTCATTTAGTTTCCTTTTTGTTTCTTCTTATACAAATTGAAAAGAAACCAGTCCACAGATGTATCCTACTCCTCGTCGCCATGCTAGTATAGGTAATATTGACCTTTTCCTTTCTCAGGTTTGTCTGGCAATATTTTAGGAAAATCCACTTAATCACTGTACTTGTGGTTAATGTACCAGCTGCGCGATATTCAATTCTGAGGCATTGCAACCATGTCAAAATTTGTGGCTCTTTAATTTGAAGATTTTGTGGCTTTAAAAGGAGATTTTTGTTTCACTTCAATACCCTAGAAATTAAAATCCTGATCAGTTTATTCAATGTGTCTTGTAGCTCATTATTAATTTGATTACCAAGTAACAAAAGGTTAAACTAGTTATCTCATATAATCTTGTTAAAGAGAATTTCTTTTTATTAATCAATTAGATGGTGTCTCCTTTCTTTTTCATTTTCTACACTTGTCTGATGTTAAGTGCATCTTCTATGTTTCCCTAAGGTATTTACTTACTATGGACTTATTGGGCTTGGGTGGACAATGGTGAAATTTTTGTTTAAACTTTCAAACTGCTACTGTCTTGCTGTGGACCTTTCTCTTTTCACGTTGTCTATTGATATTGCCACTTTATTTTTTTATCATTCTTGTAACCTTCTAGTACCCTTTTATCTTTCCTTTTTATCATCCATCCTAACTCTTGTTGCTATAATTAAATTGTTGTGCACTTGATTACTACTTTTTATTCTTGTTTAGGAAGATATTCTTATTGCCCGGGTTCGGACAACTGGCGTTACAGAAATCCAGTTTAGGTGATATCCAACTCCTGCAAATGTTTTTTATTTTCACCACAGAAATAAACACTTCTGTATTTGAATTATTCCTGTGGCTTAATGGACATCCCTCCCCAAAGCATTTCTTGTCATACAATGGTGATATAACGACGAGATGAAGTGAACTTGACATCTTGCTCATGGGCAAACCAAGCATTGTTGTAGAATACCAGACCACAGCCTCCCTCCATCGCCCATGGCATGTCATTTACCAATATTTGTTCATTTTCAGGAAGAGAAGCAATCTGTTTTCCAATGCTACATCTTCATCCTTGATAATACTAGAAAGTGATGCTAAATAGATTCAGTAAATTAATCCCAGGAATCATATGAAATATTCTTTCATCATTTAAATGTTTACAGCCCAATTGGAGAGAACCAAAAAGGTGAAGCATATCAACTCTTTGATGTTGGAGGTCAGAGAAATGAGAGAAGAAAGTGGATTCATCTATTTGACGGTGTTACTGCTGTGATATTTTGTGCAGCTATAAGCGAGTAAGACTGATGTTGCCTTCACTTAATAGCTAGTTATTGTATACTCCAAGCAATGGTCATATTATCTGCAACTCTGCTGTTTGTAACTTCCAACGCTTCTATGCTTTATATGAAACAAAAGCACATGAATGGAGAGTTTATTTAAGCTGTGTTGCTTCAAGTTGATTGTGTCGTAATTACCACATGGTATCGTTATTGTGTTTCAGGTATGATCAAACACTGTTTGAGGATGATAACAAAAATCGACTGATGGAGACCAAGGAACTCTTCGAATGGGTCCTGAAGCAACCATGCTTCAAGGTTTATTCATATCTATTCTTTAATGTCCATCTTGTGTTAATTCAGTTTCTTGGCGTGTATGTTTGACATGAGTAAATGATTTGTGCCTTTTCCATTTTTCAGAAAACTTCTTTCATCCTATTTCTCAACAAATTTGATTTATTTGAGAAGAAGGTTCTCAAAGTAAGTGTACAGTAAATTTTCTCAACATTTATCTTCGTACAACTTCCTCAAGATTGGTTAGAATATCCTGTGTTGGCAGGTACCGCTGAACGTTTGTGAGTGGTTCAAGGATTACCAGCCAGATTCAACCGGAAAACAAGAAATTGAGCATGCCTATGAGTGAGTATTTTCTTGTGACATCTCAGTTCTGGAGAAACGCTACTTATGTCTTTTTGATGCTCTGAACTGATCAGGTTTGTGAAGAAGAAATTCGAGGAGTTATATATTCAGAGCACTGCCCCCGATTGTTCTGACCGAATCTTGAAGATCTATAGAACCACTGCCCTTGATCAGAATCTTGTAAAGGAAACATTTAAACTGGTAGACGAAACTTTGAGGAGGAAAAATTCTTTTGAAGAGGGTTTATCATGATGCCAAGCAATGAAACTTCATAGCAAAGAAACATCATTTGTTGTAGGGTTGCTGAAGATTGGACCTTAATCATTAGGCACCAGTGTTTTTATCCATTCTATTGATATTGTTAGCTTGAAATCCTCCCAGAAAATCTTTTCTTTACTACCATGGAAAGTATCTAAGACGATTTAACATTCCCCTGAGGGTTTACATAATTCTTGTGAATGATTCGAACAACATATATAAAATCTTAATTGTTTTGCTTCGATTATGTACTCACAAGATCTGATATTATGGGCGTGTTCGATAGAGATAAAAATCGGATTAAAATTGAAAAATTAGTCGTCATTGTTGACTTTTATTAGACGAGTATGACTCAATAACGGCTATATTTTCAACTTCAATTTTAACGGCTATACATGTTAATTTTTTAATGGCAACGGTTCTAGTATTTGTTTATATGGTTTCGGAGAATTTGTGGATGAAAATGAGTGAGAATGTGAACTTATTTTAGGGCCTGTTTGGTTGGGATTCTCATTTTCTACAGTAAATCAATTCTCATTTTCAACCATACATTCTTCAATAAAATAATATTTTCCATCATATTAATAATATTTTCTTCTTTTTCAACCACACATTTTCCATCATATCACTATTTAAAATCAATTCTTCCCCCAAAAAATCCATACCAAACAAGCTCTTAATACCAATTACGTTACTACATGCCTAAACCGACCAAAATCTTTATATGCCGTGTTGTGCTGGTGACCTGTTACCATCA